GGGGAGGCTGGATTTCGCGGCCGTATATCAGAAATGCGGGCGTGTAACCTGTCGCTTCATGGACTGCCGAATTATATGCGAATCGCAGCTCGTTTAAATGTTCGTCCCAGTGTTTATGCTCGCGTCCCACATATTGCGAGATCATCGTTTTGATCGTACGGTTCGTCCGTTCCGTCGGGTTACAGTGTGGTGCGTAGGGGGGTGTGAACCGTTGTCTAACACCGAGAGCTTGTAAAAGACGTGTGACGGGCGCGGAATGGAACTGTGTCCCGTTGTCGGAGGGGATTTCGTCGGACACCCGTGTCGGTAAAAGATATTTTCGGCTAGGCTTTGCGCGATCGCTTCGCCGATGGCTTTTCGCAGGGGGCACATTTCCACCCATTTTGAAAACTGATCCTGCATGTTTAATAGCCACGTATATCCGCGATTCGAACGTGGCAGTGGTCTCACCAAGTCTACTGTAATCTGCTACCATGGTTGATTTATCGCGGTGGCGTGCATCATTCCCGGCGGTTTATTCTGTTCTACTTTATAGGCTTGACAGTTTTTGCAATTTCGGACGAAGCGCGCGATGTCGCGAAACATTCCGGGCCAGTAGAATTCTCGGGCGGCCCGTGCGATGGTTTTCGCGATTCCGAGATGTCCGGCGGTAGGTTTTTCGTGCACGTGCCTCATTACCTCGGTGCGTTCCTGGGAGGGGACGCATTGTTTCCATTGTTCCTGAGGGGTTTCGTGGAAATTTAAATCGTGGAGTACGTGATGGAACAGTCGTTTTTGCTGAATGCAATAGTCTGGTAGTTCGTGGGGTTTGGCTCTAATTTTTCTCCATATCCGATCGTACCATGAGCACCACGTCGGTTGTATCGCGGCAACGGTTGTTTGTCGCGAAAGGGCGTCCGCCACGCGGTTGAGGGTTCCCTTTCGGTAGTGGATATTGAATTGGTATTGCTGCAATTCGAACATCCAACGTCCTAGTCTTCCTATCGGTGATTCTAGGCCTTGTAGCCATTTTAGCGATTGATGGTCCGTTATCACCGTGAATTGATATCCTTCGAGATATTCCCTCATTTTCTTAATCCCCCACACGACCGCGAGACACTCCAATTCCGTGGCGCTATAATTTTGCTCCGCGGCATTTAACGTGCGACTGGCGTAGGCAATTACACGCTCTCCTTCCGTAAAAAATTGCGTGAGTACTGCGCCCACTCCGGTCGTGCTGGCATCGGTTTGCAGGAAAAATTGTCGGGAAAAATCTGGGCAGGCTAATACTGGTGCGGTAATTAAACGGTTTTTTAACGTTTCGAAGGCTCGTCTCTGGAGTTCTCCCCAGGTCCAGCAAAGCGTTCTTCTTTGTCAGCGCAGTGAGCGGGGCGGCAACCGTCGCGAAATCCTGTATAAATCGACGATACCATGAGG